GGGGGGGGGGGGTTGGGGGGGGGGGGGGGGGGGGGGGGGGGGGGTTTATGGTTGTGATGTATTGGTGCTGAAGAGTCTAGTTGGATTAATGAAGCCACAGAAAGCGGTCTCTGATGGTCGTGTCTTCGAAGAGTGAGACGTCTCAACATGGAAGCAAAGTATTGAGGATATTTTCACAAAACGTTGATTGTTTGGCACATTCTGAACTTATAGATGGATAGAGTGATGAATATATACGGCAACAATTGGCTGATTGATCTTTTTTATGATAGAGATGAGAGATAATAGATTAATCATTGAAGTCATTTCTTAAGCAATACACTTTAAAAATGACGTAATTCCATCTTCTCCAATATTAAAAACGTCAGCTTTTTTCCCTGTTTTATATCATCATAAACTGAATATATTTTGGTTCTCGACCTGTGTCTGGACTAAAGAAGATATTCCAAAGCATCAGCTTGAGCTTTTTTATGGACACTTTCAGTATTTTCTGAATCAACAATCAAGTAAATGATGCTCAGATTAACCGATATAATGAAAGCTATCGTGAGTTACGGGCCACTTTCCAAGTTTCAACATTTTTTCTGAGAAGAGATTGTGATATTTTATTCCGTCATAAGTTCTTTGTAACTTGACTTCCATCTGACCAAAGCTGCAAACATTTCACAGCCATTGAAGCCTATATGGGGACGGCATTTTTTGTCCGATTTTGGATGATGGACTTGAAGCATTGCGCCATGTTTAGGCAGAAACCACACGCTTACAATGTCATGCAATGTTGCTGCATTTTCTAAAACCTCCAAATCCATGTTAGGGAACCTTTGCAGGGTTTTTAGAGAAGCAGAGAGGAGAGGAGAGGAGGACGAACAGACAGAAACATTATCCTCTTGGTCACAGCACGTACTGTATTGTAGATTTGCACAGGCTGCATGTTGCAAGCTGCTCTCTCACAGGATAAATTCATCTCATCCATTTTGTTAATGTAGACGGTTTAATGTGACTTCTTCTTTTCTGCTAGTACCGACTCATGTGAGAGCATCTGTTCTGTCCCTTCTCCAGTCTCCGTGACAGTGTTGCTATGGTTGCATCATGCACATTGTTCTCTCCAGGGTGACATAATTCTTTGGCTCGAATAAGAGAGGATGGACAGCCCTGTACAGTCTAACAGGAGAAGGATTGTACTTCATCCAATGCTAACAGTGCTATTTTTGCTCTGGCTGTTCATTCTATACTACATCATGTATTGAAGTTACAATTCTGAAAAACAACACAGTGAAAACGATCTTTTCGACAGTCCATTGACATCGTGCCAACAGCTTCAATGTCTATATCTGTGGAATATGTCACAGACATGAAACACTTACCAGTTATTTTTAACTAGACACTTGCTGTTCCCATTTCAAAAAAAGCCCTTTAAAAAGTGTTTTTGAGGACAGGATCCCTTCATATGTTCGACTTTTATTCCTGAAATATTTGCAGGACAGCTCCATAAATGAATACCATGCTTTTAACTGTACAACATTATTATTTACAAATGAGAATAAGCTTCTTAACTATTTAATGTCTAACATAAATATAAATTATATTTATAATACAATGAAATGGCCATTGTGAGAGGTAAACTATGAAGAAACAAAGCGCAGTAGCGGTCACTTTTTTTTGTTGTTGGTCTGATATAACAAGACTTGTGAAGGTATCATATCATACTGGGAACATATCATACATTTTATAACCAAAATGATCAGTCAATTAATAATTAAAAAAACAACAAATAAATCGATAATGAAAATAATCACTACAAGTGCAGCCCTATTTCTTATATTAATTTCAACAGTTTGCATTGCATTTTAATTGATTCATTACTCATATGTTGCATCATAGTTAAACTTATATTATTTTTAATTCAAACTGGAATACATACCAGAAATATTATGTCTGCAGCATTGTTCAGAAGTCTTTTAACAATCTCCTATATTGTCATTGTTCTTATATTATCGTTTTTTCCCCTGTTGTTTTGAGTGTTTCTGAGCCAAAGTCGTACCCTG